CGTAGACATTCTTAATCGAATATACTCTCTTTAGCAGAAAAAAGGAAATTTTTTATGTAACTCCACATTTTATGTACATATATCTTTTAATTTTATATAAAAAGAATAAATTGTATTCAGTACATTTCACAGGCCCCTATTATGAGTTGCATTCGATTTTCGACTGTGGTCGAAAGTGCGGAGCGAACGAATTTTCATTTGGTATTATGGCGCTCAGTCGATGAAGAATAGCGCTATTGTGAATTTCGCTCGTTTAGGTTGTTCACAATAGTATATTTTTCACCGCTGAGAAGCTTTGTTTACAAATCGAGCAAACTAAATAGTGTGCTTATACATATTTATGTAAATTTGTTCTAATTAAAATGAAGTAAAAAAGAAAGCAAGTTTATAAAAACGTGGTAAAATGAGTACAACGAGTTCTGGTTCAACGATTCGTCAGAGGATGAGAGCTTAGTAAACTGGCCAGGAGTAGCAAATGTTTAAGAGAGTTTAAGTTTATTAGTCTTTCGAATATATTTTGATATAAAATATATTTAAGAAATTTGTCTACAGATTCATTAAAAAGTTCCGACCATCTAAAGAGGCGTTTGTGAGCCAAATCTATTTAAAATATTTTAAAACTATCAACAGCGCTACGATTTTGTTCTCAGAGATCGTGCCAACAGAGTATTGGGATTTTCTTTCACAAGTAAAACCAGCCTTTCGAGCTTGTGTTTAGTATTCACGATGTTAGAACTGCATGAAATTAATAAAAATTGTTTAAAATTAGTGTCTAGCCGCCAAAATGTAAGAAAACATATACAAAATCATACATTTTTCACAATTTTCTAACACTTCGCTACTTCATCGAAAGCAAAATTCTGTTCGACAGAAAATTCGATACTCAACGAAAATTTCGACACGCGTGCATAGCTCATAATACGAATTTCACTTTCGATCTTCGATAGCCAGCGAAGATCGAAAATCGAATGCAGCTCATAATAAGGGCCACAGTCTTATTTGTAGGTAATGAAAACAAAAACGCCTGGACTTCCTCTTTGGAAACCTCGCGCAATATCCCTTCTGGTTGCCATTATTTCAACCAATTTTTCGTATTGCTCTGGTGTTGTTGTCTTGTACTTGTAAACATTACAAAAAACATCGCGAATACACAGAAATCGCGAATATTCATTTATGACTTTTACAATCATCCATAGTATCTTTCACATAATTTTTTTATAAAATTTTATTATTTAACCCCACGAAAATAACAATCGAAACGTTCTCCGACAACAAATTTGCAACTTAGGGAAGCGGAACTACGATCGAAATGCAGAATAGGTATAATCGTAAATTTCGAAGAACACAGAATACCAAAGTTGCCAAACGGGGGAAATTTGAGTCGAAATGTAGAATTGGGCTGAATACTTTTTCGGCCTTATTGCGAATTCCATGTGAGCAAACATTGCCAAAAATTATAAAGCAAAACCAAAACAATTTTTCCCAACTGTACAATTGCTCCCTAATGTACATACGTAGTATTCAACTAAAATGAAAATGAGATGGTGAAAAATTAGATACAAAATTAAACAGCAAATAATAATTTTTAAAAAGTATGTAATTTATTCAATTTCTATAAATAAAATTGAAAGAAAGTTCTCTTGATTTTGTAGGCACACAAAAGCGTAGTAGAGATAAAAAGAGCTGGATGTACATATGTATGTAGGAATATGTACATTCATATGTACTGTATTCAAGAAAAATTTAAATATTCCATTAATTTGACATTTATTTTTATACCTTCGCTTCAAGCTAAAAAATTAGCATAAAATAAAATAAAAAAATTTACTTAATTTATACATATACATAGGTATTCATGTACATACATATGTTTATGTGTATACTGCGATTTCTGTATATAAGCAGACAGAAATTCTTACTTTAATTTTTAGGGATTGTTTATTTATTTATTTTTTTAATTTATTGCTTGATAATTATAGTTAAACAAACAGTCAACAGAACAAAAAAGTAAACAAAAATAAAATTAATTTAAACTTAAATTAAATAGCTATCTAATCCCTTTCTAGGCATATTCATTCAAACTTCTTCGTAATTTCTAAGCTACATATACATACATACATAATGTATTGGTATTTGTTTTGATACATATACTAAGTGTGTTTTTTCATGGTTAAACCATGGCGGATGAAGCATGAAGCAGTGATACGGTCAAATGCAACTACATAGTATAGAGTTGATTAATTACCATTAGCGTGGGCCGAAAATCCGCTTTTTTAGAATTTTGATTGGTGAAAGCAAAAATATGGTTCATATGCTTTAAAAAAAATCTGTGTGAAATTTGGAATTTTTTTGTCAATATCCTAGGCTCGCCCAAGTCCATCAAAGTTCAATATGCTCAAAAAATAAAAGTTAATAAATGAATTAATTAATACATTTTTTGACTAAAAATTCAATAATCTTCGAAAGAAGTATACGGACCTTTTTTGAAGAGAATCGAAGTTAGCTAAGAAACATTTTTTTAGTAATTGAACTTTGATGGACTTGGGCGAGCGTAGGATATTGACCAAATATTTTCACATTTCACACAGATTTTTTTAGAGCATAATGAACCATATTTTTGCTATTACCAATCAAAATTCTAAAAAAGCGGATTTTCGTTCCACACTAATAACCATATTCGTGGCAATATATTTAATTTTTTTAAATTTTTGTAACTGGTGGGTACATACACACATACGTACGGTGACGGGAAAACAATTAGGGGTACGACACTTTAACAGTTTGTTTGTCTATCTTTGGTTTATTTAATATTTATATTTTTATTGTCGTCTAACAATAACCACTTAAGTCAAAATTTCAAACTTTGTAAAAGATTTGCAAAAATTTTGCGAATTTCAAAAATGTTTATCAAAACTTCAAACTTTTTACCCAAAATAAAAGGGGTCTAGGTACAGTATTGTAAATTTTAGTATAGAAAAATGCAAGTTTGAAGTTCCTAGAACTTACCGTTGATTTTTAGCATTTTTCTGACGATGTTGCGCATTTTCCTCCATATAAAAAATTTTCGAACATACTTTATATGGAAGAAAATGCGTGACACCGCACAAAAATGCCAAAAATCAACGGCAAGTCCTAACTGCTTTAAATTTGCATATACTAAAATATATGGGACACAACACTGCAATTTTTTTCGAAAAATTCTGATTAAAAAGTTTAAAATTCTGTATACTTTTCCTAATTTGTGTACAATGTTTGAAACTTGGAGCTAAATACATGTTTTTTTTTATATAGGGAGCCATACTTCCATAAAAAAATAACATTAAATAAACGAAAGAAAAATACCCAATAGCACAAAAAAATGTCGCGTCCCTATTTATTTTCCTCCCACTGTACATTCGAAAACTAATGCGATGGTACTGAGTGCTTACTACTAAAATTAAAACTTATTAAAAATAGTAAGGGTATGATAAATGTACTGAGGGCCTTTTCTGATTTAAAAGAAAAAATGGTCGGATGGCATGTTATTATAAATGTTTAACTTTGCGTACTTCTATTAATATGGTATTTTATTATTCATGCAGGCATGATGTATGTATCTATTTCATTTTGTACTTTGATTTTGTTTTGTTTTTGTGATTGGTATTTTTGCTATTGCTTGTTTTATACACATGTATGTATACGATAGATAGTCTAAGTTGTTTGGAGCAAAAGATATTGACATTAGGGCTATTCGCGATTCGGTGCATAAGAGCTGACAAATTAATGCAATTGCAGAAATATGCCATGGATTGTGAGCGAACTTTATTAAACTGGCATGGTAAACCTTTTTTATTCAGCTGAGAGAAATGTCAACCAGAGTTGCAATGCATAGCATTTTTATGCTATGGATTTTCGGTATTGCAAATTTGTCAAGCCATGACAAGTGCAAATGCGTGTATTTTGTTTGTGTATTGCAAATAATTTGCAATACAAATTTGCAATGCAATGATGCTAGGCCATTTGCACCGGATCGCGAATAGCCCTATTATGTATTTGAGGCCATGATCAGTAGCAGTTATTGCAATTCGACTTTCTTATATTTTCGTTATCTTATATTTATCAATTTCTCTTGGCAGTGATGCCGCCAGTGTTGTCTAAAATGTATTTCCTCAATCATGAAATCTCTACAGTTTAAAATGGTTCAGTTTTATTTTTTCTTCTTAGTTCTCAGTCAGAAACATAATTATACACGTACGTACATAACTATTTATGCAACTCAGGGTTGGGCGAATAAACAAACAGTTAGAAAATAGAAATGGTCAAAAAGAAATTTTGAAACAAATTAGAGAATGCTTATTTAACTAAAGTTTCACGTTAGATATTTTTGCAAAAACTTCGTTTTGAATTTACTCAAGTTTCCGATTCTAGTGATCACCATTTTCGAATTTCATTATTCACACAACCTGCATGCATATTGCACATTTCTAAACACCTAAAATACAAATAATTGAACTAAGTAAAATTTGCTCTAAAATTTCCAATTCATATTGAAATATTAATATTCATATAGCCTTATTCATAAAAAATAAAGTAGGTTTAAAAAGCCCTATAAATTGATGTTTTCATACATTTTTCAATTTATAAACCTTTTAAGCTACTTTATTTTTTACGAATGAGGGTAATCATGTTTATTCAAAACGTGTTGTTATGAATTATTTAAATTCATAATTTTTATAGTTAAAAAAACCTTATATAAAGACTATCAAAATATAAGGTGATGCATTCTTAGACTTCATCATCTATGGAAAAACCTTACATCAAAGTAGTCTCAAATTGGATCTCTAAGGCAACTGTACGTTAAAATTTGAACTTGGAAAGTCGTTTTGCAAAAACCACATCTAACGACTGGCTGAGATATTTCTTTAATTATACTTTTAAGTCTGGAATAACGACAAAGAAAAAGAAAACTCGATGTAAGCAGTATTTAAAATATACAATCAGGTTCATATTCAAAAATTATATGTAGTAATTACCATACTTGGGACAGAAAATGATGAAAATGGAAACAATTTTTTTTTTCTTAACCGAATGCCGTAATTCGATCCCCTCGCCTATGCCACAATACCGTAAACACGACATCGACTGTCGGCAATTAAGACTGCTTAGCATAATTGTAATAAACGTTTCTCCTCGCCTTACAACAACAGGCATTTTTAATTTGCATTAAATACATACAGTAAAAGATAAACACAAAAAACGCATGCCTTTTTTTGGTTTAAGGAATAGTTTTATCATTTACACATAATCCATATTAATTAATGCTTTACTCGCATAGCTCTTTGAATTCCAGTACAATATTTTATTTTCTTCTCGAAATATGATACGACATACTATAATGGTCGATCTCCACCAAATTATGGGTAGCTGTATTGGTTCTTGCATTTATGTATATTCATCCATACAATTTAGCGATTTTTTTATTACTATTAACAATGTTGGTAACATTAAGATTTTGCTTGCTGACGTTTAGTTAACTTAGGTAAAATATTACAAGAATTAAAATTAGTTAGATTATCATTACAATTATCATGTTTGTTATTACTATTTAGTTTTATCGTAGTAGTATGTGTAGTAGTATAATTATTAATTCGTTTAGGAGTAGTAGCAGCTGCTTTTAATTTGCCATCAGTAGTGTTCTCAATTGAAGAAGCCAAATTGCGAAAACGATTTGCAGATTTTGCCGCACGACCAGCTATTGACGATATATCAACAGCAACAGTAGGTTTATTGGTAGCCGTTGTTGGTAAAACGGTCAATTTGGTATTATGAGCAGTCTTTGTACATTTTTCTAAAGTATTCGGCTTTTCTGGTTGTGAATGTATCATAGCGTTATTAAGAATTGATCTGTTGGTGGCAAAATTTTTAACGACTTTTACCTTTTTTTTTAAAATGTCATCAATATCAATACTAGAAAAGATGTTCATTCCTTGATTTGATTGACTTGACTTTCGGTTAACACCCACATCCACCAGTTTGGTCACCAAAGCTGTTGGAAATGGATTTTGCGTCGACGTTTCTAATTGTGATCCATTTTCTTTGAAAGTACTTTTCTTTTGGAAACAGTCAATTGCTACTGCTGCTGTTGAAGTTGCCTGTGCTCCTGCCTCTCGCTCAGCGGTAGCCGAGCTTTCATCTTTAACCTCTAACTCAGTAGTTGTGTTTGCAGTTGGCGACACTGTTGTTGCAGTTGAATGCAATCAAGACAGCTGCTTGGCAACAATGACACCCGGCCGAACCTGTTTTAGGGCTGTCGTTGTGATCGTCACCTGTTGTGCACCTTGTCCAGCGCCTACACTGCTCGACCCCGCGGCAGTTGTTTGCACTTTGTAAATGGCGGTGGGCATGACTGTAGTAGTTCCAATGCTGCCAGTGCCACTATCCTTCTGCTGGCCTGTTTGCTGCAGAATGGTTACTTGTTTGTTGCCTTTGATTTGCAGGTAAGGACGCAATTCAGCCAAAGTGGCACGCTGCGCATGCTGCACTTTTGTGGTTAACGCCAAGGGAGCCTCCTGTGCTCTTTGATTTTGCTGTTGCTGCAACTTTTGCTCACTGCCATCCGCGAATAGATGGTCACCTTCTAGGTGTCTTATGGCCTCCACAATGGTTTCAAGATTCTGACGCGAGCGTGTCAAACCACTTGGTTGATCTATTTTTTCCGTTTTTACTTTGATGATCTCATGTATGCGTTCTACCTCAACTTTTGGCGTTGCTTTGATGGCGGCCTGTAATATTGGTTGCAGGACTGCCGCTGACGGTGATGAACCTTCAGCATATGCCTTGGCAATGGCATTGACTTCTTGCTCGGATTCGGTAGACGATGTAGATGATAGTATGACCTCCTCCTGCACATTGTCTTCTGTGATAATTTCTGCTGCTGCGGCTGCAGCTTCGCTCTCCAACTCTTCAATACTTGAGCAAACTACCACTTGCCTTTGACCTGTCATTTCATCAATTTCAACATAGGAAACAGTTCCAGCTGGCAACTCATCTATGGATTCGCGGACCAAATTGTCTGTGTGTTCGATCACTTCGCGTGGAATGTATGAGGATGTAGAGGCTGCAGGTGCCGTGGCCACCGAATACAGCTGCCGCTTGATCATTTGCAATTCCTCTTCAAGCATGGTGCGCATGCGGCGTTCCTTTTCCAGTTGCTTTTTCATTTCGCTCAATTCCTTAGAGGTGGCAGCATTATGTGCAATAATCACTTGACTTTTAGCATTGACACTGCCAACGCCCACATTCAAAAGTGTCGTTGGTTCTGGGGACATCGATCCTAAGCCTTCATCAGAGGAGTCACTTATCGTTTGGAGGCTGATTATATTGTCGGTGAGTTTGCGTTTTTTTATGGCCCCGCTGCCACTGTTCAACGATTCTGCACCGCTAGCAGCTGAAGACTCTACTGTTCCTGTGGCTGAACTGCCAGCTGTATTCGATTCGTGCAATCCAAGTTGACGCTTCAATTGACTATTTTGGTTTAAAAGCTGGGTCTTTTGGTTCTCCAACTCGTAGATGTATTGGGAGGTTTGTTGTAAAATCGCGGCCTGCAAAGAGAAAAATAATTTTAATTTACTGGTAAGAATTATACAAATTAGAAAGGAACAGTATGCGTGTTTGTAATTGCGTCTGTATTTGGCTACCATTTCAACGGCTATCATCGACAAAACCAATTATTTTTACACTTTTTGTTTCGAATAGATCGGAACAAAGGGAAAAGGTGGTTAGTATCGCGTGGCACATCTTGCCATATTGACCAAAAATTTAGGTATGTCGGGTTGATACTGGATTACAAACCGAAGTCTCAAACATGCAATTATACGGTTAATATTACCCGTGTAACAACGGCTGCGTTTTTTGGGCAATATCAGGATTCGGATAAAAGATTTGCATGCACATGCAACAACAACATCGATCGGATTCAATTTTATGATCCGTTCTTTGTTTTGTTTCACTGGCAGATTAATGTAAATATACGCAAACAGTTTTTTTATAACCGGCTTTAAATAAATCGCATTAATGTTAGATATTTATTTAAATTAGTATTATCTCGTTTAACTCTACCTTTCCCCCATTCAGTGAGTTAATTTTTATAATTTTTCTTCCTCGTGCTCGTTCTGCCAATCCCAATAATAATGATCCTGATTGTTCTCGTAAGAAATGATTGTGATACTGAGCCAGATAACCCAAGAAAACACTACTAATGTTCCTTGTGTGTTTGCGTCTCCAGTTATTTAAAAAACAATATATATATATATATATATATATATGTATTTTAATATCCAATGATCGGATCTAAACCAGATTAGTATGGGACCACCTCAGAGACACTACCTTTCCGATGCAAAAAGAATTTTCGAAATCGGTTGACGTGGTCCAGTTATGCGGTAACATGCATAAAAAAAAAAAATATTCCGACGAACTGATAACCTCCTCGTGTTTTGGAAGTCGGTTAACAACTAAGAAAGCATAAGTTCGGACGAAACCGAGCTTCATATACCTGGCGCACGTATTAAATGTCGTATTTTCACCTTTCTGCGGCTTAATAAATAACTGAACCGAGTTTGGTAAAAATCGAAGAAGCACGTTCAGCTCATATAATTAACTCGAGAGTAAAATAAGGAGCAATTATTCAGGCGAAAAGCGGACAGTCTAGTAACTAGACGGAGGTACTCTGTAGTGTGTGTAGTGGCATACTGCTGCAACTCAAAGGAGTTAGAATAGTGGCGTATGCTGGCGATGTAGTGATAGCAGTCAAAGGAACATTCCTCCCTAATTTAAGTGAAATTATAGAGTAGGCACTGGGTAGATTACACACGTGGGCTAAACGCAGTGGCCTTAACGTAAACCTAACCAAAACCGAGTTATTATTGTTTGCTGATAGGAATAAAATACCTCTCAAATTAGACATCCATCCATAGGCGGTAAGATAATCTCCATATCATCCAATGCGAAATATCTTGGTGTCGTCCAGTTTTAAGCAAACAATACAATGACAGTAAAGTAGATAACATACAAAGGGCTACATTTCGAGGCTAACTGGGGCACTGAGGTCCTGCCCCTCAGAAAAACTGAATGCAGTCCCACTGACCTACATATGTCTAAAGAAAACAGCTCAGAGAGCGAGCCTGGGCTATGGAAATCGAGGACCTTTAGGCATAGCTCAATCTTAAGCATTGCCCCGATAGCAAATAAAACCACGGAATGAAAGGGAGAGAGGAAGCCTTTCCACGCTACTAGAAGATACAGAGGCTTCCTCTCTCCCACAGAGGCTCAAATGGTGGTCGGCGAATTATCTGAGTGGTCGACACTCGTCGGTAATGTTTAGAGACAAATCGAGTAAACTTAGAAAAATAAAACAGGGTATATTTCAAAGCTCCCTCAACCACAAGAGGGAGTCTCGATTGTCTCCTACGCCGACGATTGCTTTGATGACTTGTGTTCGAAAGTAAACGGATATCTCTCCGAGCTTTTTCGCTTCTTCACTGCAAGGAGCCTACCCCTTGTTCACCACCTCGACGAAGGAGGTGGAATTCACGGAGCTTCATCTGCCTCGGGAGACAAGAACCACAGTAGCCCAACTTCGCTCTGGCTACTGCAGCAGGTTAAACTCATACCTGAGCAGACTAAACGCAGATGTGCCGAATGAGTGTCCGGCATGCGGAGAGAAACCTCATGTCTCGAAATATCTCTTGGTATGCCCGGAAAACCCAACAACTCTAGCGCCTTTGTCCCTGTGGACCGACCCCATTGAGGCTGCACGCTTCTTAGGGCTGCCGTTAGTGGAACTTGACGACAGCCACTGAGATATTAACCGATCTGGGCGGGGTTGTTGTAGCCGCTACAACAACAACAACAACAACAACAACAACAACAACAACAACAACGACGGAATGAAAGGTATCAAGCCTCAATTTGTTCATGAATGTACATATGCAGTTCCCATCCAGAAGGGAATAGAGAAGGGGTCAAGCTGCGGGTCCAAGATGGACTGCGGTGTAGGCATAGGTTTAGGTCCGTAGAGCTTAGTGTCAATCGCTCCCTTCGGCTGGTAATCCATGTTAGCTATATGATACTAAACTACTACTAGTGCTACCGGGAAAGAAAGAGCGGTTATTTACTCAGACAGCCAGGCAACACTCCTTGGGGGTTACTCTGTAATGCGATGCGAAAAAAATGATTCGCGTTCGCGCAAACACATCGTAGGTAATCCAGAGGGGTGATTGCCTATCGCATCACATTTCTCTGTCGTATCGGATTACAGAGTAGCCCCCAGGCTATATCATCTAGTGCATTGATTCCCAAATTGGTCCAGGTGGACCCCCAGGGGTCTACGTTGTCGTGAAAAAAATACTAGTTGCAAGTGAAATTTTGTCTTGTTTCGATAGTAAGGAACCAAAATGGTTGCTTGATAGCCTATTTATTTATCTTTAATTTTTTTAAGTGGTGTATAGTGCTCTTGAAGCACTGGTGAACTTACTTTCACTTTGTGTCATCAAGCAGTGATGGAAAATCAAAATTTAAAATTGTGCCGAATTTCTCCGTAAAAATGTGCCTAAATGCAGGTCAATGTGCCAATAAATTGAAAGTCGTCGATAGGTACCATTTCCTTTATAAAATATATTTACAGTACTTATTGCGTGTAAGAAAACAGAAATATATAGGAAAACCTTTATTTAATGCAACAACACAACAACAAAAACCATAAAAATGAAAGCTCAAAACTATCTACGAAAAATTTTGATGCAAATTTGTTGTCAGATATTTTAGAAAACTTTCGGGTATACAATTTTATAGTCCATTAAATTTTAGGATTACGAAGTGTCTGTGCGGCTAAGAATTCGAATTTTTAATATTTTTTTATTTTTTTTTTGCATTTTTTTTATACATATTGGCGGTACAAAAAAATTTGAGTACCGAAGAAAAAGTGCAACACCTTCAACAAAAAAATTACTCAAAAATCAACGCGAATTAAATGAATTATAAAACTGCATAGCCGAAAGTATGTCTAGTTTTCAAAAAAAAAAAATTACGTATAAACAAAAATAATCGCCTAATTACCAACCCTAAATTACGAATTGTAAAAATATAAAGCACCCGTCCTCCTAAAGTATTTGCAGATTACAATGTCCAACTTGCGCAAACTTACTTGTAACTAGCATTCAGGCATTGTTGCGGATATTGGACAGTTCCATACGCGGTGGTCTAGAAATGAGAAGGCCTGATTCTTTGTATATTTACATTTTGGAATCCAGGGTAAATTATAATTTAGTAAATTTGTTCATTTTCACTGAGATCATTATTTGTACATAATATTATAAACGCAGTACTTTTTTTATACCAAAATCAATGTTATTCGTATCATCAGAGTTTACTGCCTTTGGCGCGAAAGCCGTAACGGCTTTTAAATTGCAGTATCAAGGTGCTCTATCTGAAATCTTGGTCAAAATTTAACTTAAAGTTTCAAAGTTTCAAAGCATTTTTAATTTCATTTTCTGCAGAATTTTCTTTAGTAAGAAATATTTCGGCTTCTGTCCCACAAAGAATATTCAAAATGGGTTTGTGATTATTTAAATCTAAAGTGTTTATTAAATGATATTTAATATTTGCTTTAGAGATGAAATTGCGACAAATTTGTTTTAATAAAAATGTTAAGGGTAGATGCAGAGCGTGGAAACCAGATTCTTCTGCTTATGTTTATACCATTTATCAGTTTAAGCACATCAATCACGATCAAATGTAAAAAAAAAAATATATATTTTTAATTGCAGATCCGAAAGAAATATATATTAGTTGCACTGAGTTACGCAAAAACACATGACTGTGATAAATGACAACTCCATTTGCCCATCCTGCTTTGAAGAGGATGAGACGGTGGTACACTTCTAGATTCAGTCTTTTCTTTTTGTCAGTTTTTTAATTTGGAATTTGGCGTAAAAAGCTTTGCAGTTTGGTTGTTTCAAGTTTGGTGTTTTAAAAATGCTAGTGACGAATATTTTTCGCATCACTTTTAAAATCGGAGCGATAAAAATAAAAATGATGCCATCAACAAAAATAAACTATTTGACAAATACATCACATGCAAATTCATGAGTGAGCCGAACATGTGAGGAGTTTATTTAGTGCTCTTAAAAAATATAACACATCAGAGCGAAATAGTGCTTTCATGGCTTTAGAGCTCTGTTTTTTAAATCTTGCAATCACATTATTTTAATAAATGAAAGAAAGAGAAATATTTTATTTTTATTTTTGCCACTCCGAATTTAGTTTTGGAACTCACCCGCGATGCAAAATGACATCGTTAGATTTAATCTTCAAATTGTTTGATGAGCTTAGGGAATATGTTGGAAATGAGCACCAGGAGGTCCACCGAAAGCAAAGGGTCTACGAGAAAAATAAGTTTGGGAACCTCTGATCTACTGAACCAAGTCTAAGCTACTCAGAGAATGCACGCCGAGCGTAGTATCAGTCAATGCCCCTCTCTCTCGTCTGGGTTCCCGGCCATAGGAACATAGAAGGCAACGAGAGAACAGATGAACTGGTGGTC